GAAACTATGCTAAAGCATATGGAAAACAATGAGTTGACTGCTGACAGCCAATAGTACTGAAAAAGATATATCATAGGTGCAGATTCTGATGATCAATACATGAAAAGATTTATAGCCATTAAAAAAAAAAAATCTGCTACCATAAATGATCAGTATAATCAGGACTTCCTGGTAATGTAATATTGAAGAGACAATGAACACAAATGGAAACACAGAGTGTTCTTCCTGAATATCAAGAAACATTTTTACTTTTTACAGTAAGGGTGACTGAGCACTGGCACAGGTTGCCTGGAGAGGCTGTGGAATCTACCCTCAGAGATATTCAAAAGCCATCTGGACACAGTCCTGGGCAGCCTGTTCGTAGTAACCCTGCTGCAGCAGACAAGCTAGACAAGGTGACCTCCTGAGGTCCCTTCCAACCTCAACTATTCTGTGAATAATAATTTCTAAGTAAAACACTGAGCAAGTACATTATTAAAGAAAAAAATAAACTTGACTAGAGAGTGATAACTTATCAACATCTTTATGTAAGTAATATCCTTCATACAATGAAACTTATTCTTCAAAGGCTAAAAGAAACAATAAAACAACCAAAAAACAAGACTTGTCCAGTACTGTTTATCAGAGTACATTTATAACTCTTATGATTATATGTGTCATTCGAAGTCTTACAATGACGTACGCTGTATTTTTCCAGTTTATTTACCAGGTAACTAGTCAAGGTGATATTTTCTAGACAATTTATCTTAGAGAAGATTATGGTTAAATTTGCTTGAGAAAGTTGTAACTGAATATTTTCCTCTTTCTAGCACTCAAAAACAGAGTTAGTTCCTAACCTTCTTAGCAGAACATTTTCTTATGCTACAGTAAAAGACCTAATTTTACTCCAGTAAAGTAAAAACACACTATTAGGTATTTAGATCTTATGCTTCCTCATTACAGTGTAGTTCATTGTATTTAGCAATTATTTTTCTGGACTCAAGAGTCATGACCTAAATGCAATAAATTCCTGTTGTTGGGGAACATGCAGTGCAGTCCCAAATACACTTTCCTTAGAGGCTTCCGCTGCCAACAGGAAGCCTTGGGAAGAATAAACAGGATCACTTCTGAACTAGATTCTGAATATCTCCACAATAAATTCTGAAATAAAGAATCTGAAGGAGTATTCTGGGTCAAGTTCACAGGTTTACCAAAGGTATTATGACATATATCTTTTATACCAGCTCCATCTTGAAAACAGTTTTAGGTTTTCACCATGTCTTTGTTTTAGAAAAATGCCATTCCTTCATAATTCAAGACCTTCTTTTGATGAATGATCTATCTTTATTCATGGTATCCTATAATAATTTATTCCTTTATTAACATTATTTTTGGTTTAAAACATTTCTTTCACCATCACCTGTTCATTCCATCTTCCTGTCTCTCCAAGAAAATCTATGAAATCACTCATAGTCCCTCTCAAGTCAGTTTCCCCCAGAAATAAAAAAACTTCAATTAGTATTTTCAAGCAGAAGATGTTACTTCCTCTTTCCTCTAATAGTGTTAATCTCTTCAATTTGAGGTTGACTCTCAATCATTACTGAGCCAAAACTCAGGTAAATAAGGTCCAAACCACTCCTTGGTTAAACTGCATTAATATTTACCTACTTCCAACAGAAGTCTTTTACATAACACATCTCAAAATTGTACTTTCCATTTTTTACATCCACCTCCCACTGGCTGCCTACCACCATTGTAAACCATATATTATCTCTCTTTACTACTGCTACCTAGAATATACGATGCAAGGGTGAGCTCCTTAGATTTAGATCCTTGTATCCATCTCACCCTTGTGTCATGTATTACCATCCCACCTCTGTGACTGTTATTCTTGTGTATTATAATACTCCCAGAGTTGATTATTCAACTCAATTTTGTGCCATCTGAAATTTCCACTAGCATGTTTCTTCTTATGCTCAAATTAATAAAATTTGATCTCAAAATACATTAACTACTACTACTCTCCTTCCATCCTGTCAGTTTATTGTAAGTGAAAATTTTTCCTCTCTCTGTTTTATTGCTTACCTTACTAATTATTATATTAATTTTCCTTACACGCCTCCCATCTATTAATAATTTAAATGAGGTGACTTCAAAATATATAATTTTAGGGATACTGTAGTTCCCCAGTTTAAAAAGTCTGGTACAAAAAAATCATGTTGCACTACTCTGTATAAAGATAATTTTGATAAACCCTTGTCATATTTTTAAGTTAGCTTTTTGACATATTATTAGATTTTCCTCCAAAACAAGTTTTAAAAGTCTTCCCGTTATTTTGTTTTGACTAGCTGATCTGTAGTTGCCTGCTCACTTTCCCCCTCCTTCCTTAAGCATAGCTATTCAGTTAAACACAGATGTTCATAAAGTTAAGACTGCCAATATAATAGAAATAAAATTTATTTCAATGGTAGCACTTAGCGTAACTGTATTTCTGTAACACAGATTTGAAAGATGTAGTTAATTGTACATTGTTCTGTTGCAGTGCAGACCAGTATAAAAACTTAAGGACGTTTACAGTCATTGGCTACAGCATTAACAGCTGTAACAGCATTAACTAATAATACAAGCTTCCTATTTTATGTTATTTATGATTTCCTATTTCCCATCAGACAAGATTTTTCAATGGCTGAGTTTTCATGCAAGCTCTTTTTGTTCAGGTTCTATTTATTACAAGTGTAATGATTTTTCCAGAACATATTTTTCACTGCCAACAGTTAAACAGACAATAAGCAAAAAGAGTGTCCTAACAAAAGTGTTTCGGAATATAACTGTGTCAATACACAGTTTCTAAACACAAAGCACAATGCAAATACTAAGAAATAATTGAATTTTGAAAACCACTCGAGGAATCAAGAACTAAAAGAATAAATTCTGATAAAGCAAGACTCATTATATGTCACATTGCAACTAAATTATAATTATAATATACATATCTTATATATTCTCCTCCTAAATCAAGTGAAGAGAGAATTCTTCCTCTCCACTAGGTAATAAGTCCTAGGTAATATTTTGTCAGAAGGTTAGCAAGGCAAGCTTGCCATTCATAAAACCATAAACCAAAAAACTGTAAAACTACTATGTAGAATATCTCAAGTCCAGAATTGAAACTAAATAGTATGGCAGGGATATGAAAATCATATTCTTGAAAAACTCTATTACTAGAATGCTATATTACTAAGCCAGTTTCCTGTATAAGAGCTTTTAAGAGCAGAATTCTACAGAATTTAATTACATACATGAAGATCGAGATAATCTATTTGATGAACAAAAAAACCTGATTTTGCTTTAAAATTTAAGCAGTGGGTCACACAGTTTCTCATATGGGAAACCTACATCTCTCTTAGAAATAAGGATGAATGCTACCTGAAACACACATTCTTAATGGTACATGGTAGACCAAAGCGTTCACCTGAAAAATCAATTGATTTTAGGAGGTGTATAGCTATCATTCAAAACTCTATAACACAATATGATTTTATTCTTTATTTATTACTAGAAGAAATAAAGAATAAAATATTGTTGTGATCCATTTCCTTAGAATTTATTTCTTTTAGGCTCTGTATGACATTTATGCTGACTATTATTTTCCTTAGCTAGTCTCCAGTATTTTAGCAAGAGTTCTGCATATGCAAGACACAGAAACATTAGGGCTTAGACACCTGGTAGTGCTCAACAAAAATGCCTCACTATGGGCTCAGTGGAGAGTGCCTCTGCACACTGAGCAGCACACTGAATGGGACTTCACAGATGCAGAGCGTCCTCTCTTCTTTGGATTTCCAGCAGTAAATCTTTGAATAAAGGATTTATGCTTTCACTTACTCTCCTCCACTCTTCTATGGGGAGACACCTGTACAAAAGTAGCTCAACTGCCCACAAATAAAGAGAAAAAAAAAAAAAACAACCTTGATTTTACAGTATATCAAGATCATTGTTACTCCTTTTTGTTTGTCCCAAGACAGCTGCAGGCATTCTTATTGTCTGGAGCTAATGCTCAAGTTGCTAATGCTGTTCTTCAAATGATTACAGTCTCTGTCTCTCTATTTAGTCCTATCCCAAGATATTTCAAAAACCTGCTGAGGTTAGCCCTTGAGCAACTGCTGTTCCCTATTCCAGAGGGTGCCATTTTCCTCTTCTACCCTTAAATTTTTTTTTACTCATTTCATTCATCCTTAATACCTCTTTATTCCAACCACACAGTGTCATAATTCCTCCCAAGGCTGCTATGGTCACATTTCCTAATAAGTGACAGCTGAGAGACACAAAAAAAGCCATGGAGAAAACCTGAATTTTGAATCATGGTATCTTTCCAACCTCTGACACTATACACAGACTGAAGTAAGATCGTTCATTGCTTTTAATTCTATTATATTAAAAAACAATTATATTGACATATAATATTGAAATATAATATCACATTAGTATTTTAACTGAAGTAGTTCATATTAAAGTTCCTAAGAAAGATTAGGGTCACTTCAGATAATGAGATTTATATAAATATTTAAACTTAATTGAATTAAAATATTAAGTTATTAGTTGTTTATATGGGTTTGTAGTACCTTATTTAACCTACATAAGTTAGTTTTATTTTTTGTTTATTAGAAACTCTTATCCAGAAAAATCCTCATTCTTTTTGCTTTACTTCTACCATTAGATCTTTTATTTAAATAATAAATCCCTTACCTGTTGTAAATGCTAGAGCAACAGCCAAAAGAACCAGTAGCTACAGTCCTTCACCTTGCTCTCCTTCAAGTCAACAGCATTGCTCCTACCCTTAAATATGAAAATAGGTCCCATAGAGGCCAAACCAGGTACTATTAATTCAGTAGGAGTTCTGCAGCTGACATCAATGGGAGCAAAATTTGGACCTCAAGGAATACATACTGATTAGGGTAAAGTAATTGGTATCAAGTAAAATATTAGTGAACCTAAACAAAAAAAGAGAATCTTCATTAACTACATACCTGAGGCAGTGCTGAGTTCAGCTGTCGCTGGAGGGAATCTCTGTCGTAGATGACATCCTGTAGGCGTTGCTGTGCAAGTGACAAGCTTTCCTGTGTCTCCCGAAGGGTATCAAGGAGACGGTCCCTTTCATCCAGCATGTTCACCATCAGCTGCTCAAAATGAGAATCCGAGTCCGAGCCGCTGCTTTGGGACCCCCGTTGGCTCATCGGGGTGTCCTCGTTTATCGTTGGCATCACTTCGCACATCATTTCTTTAAAAAGAACACAAATCAGGGAATAGCTCTTCAGTAGAGAAAACATTTGAGGATATTTCATAAGAGGAATAAACTCTGTCACATGGACACAGTTAGTAGATTACTGCATTGTTCCCACTTTCAAACTTGTGCGCAATGTTAATCAGATGGTCAATAGTGAGGGATTAAATACAGTGACTACTTCCACAGAGCAAAGACTTTGAATGTGCTTCCCAAAATTAATGAAGGCTGACTGGAAGGAGATGAAGGGTTACAGAATATTTTAAATTAATAGTTTTGCAAATAATAATCTCTTAAAATGACAGAAAATACTTCCTCTGCAATTGTAGTCTCCCTTATAATTGCTTTTCTCTCTTCTCTTACTTAATTTCATTGTCGAATTGTTGGTATTGATGTCAATAGCTGCCACTAACTGCCAGATTTTGTCCTCCTCTAGGCAATTCTACAGTACAGCTCAGGCTAACCATTGATCCAGTATCATGCTGCCTTAACAATGCCAGGTTAATCTATTTTTCTATCTAGTTATTCCCATCCTCAGGGGAAATTATTCTCCAGTGAGCTTGTTCAGTAAGGGGTCAAGAACTAGAAACTCTGCTAATTACATCCCTGTGATATCTTGTGCAAATTAAATTACCAGGAACAGAATCACTGTTGTTTGTTTCTTAAATCTGTCCTGAGCAGAGCAAATAGCATCACCTAGTCCCGTGCTTCAGTAACAAAGCTTCTTACATAAATCTCAAACCCCCTATTAATGTACAGGAAGAAGCTTTGGGAACCCTTAGGAGAGCTTTCCAATGTTAACTGCTTTGTCCACTGTCCACAGGGACCCTGGGATGCAGGATACCTGCCAGGGGAGCCTGTCTTGCCCCCAGGAACCTCTCACAACATCAGGTAAAATGTAAGTACACTGCACTCAGCAAGGGGCCATCACCAGTCTCCACTCAGCTCCCACCTGTGGCTAAGCAGTTTGGGATGGTAAGTTCACAGCCAGCAAAGGGATAATTTAAAAATTCCAAGGCCATCTGCCACTTGCTCAGTTCAATCATAACTTTTGGTATGCAGCAGGTGGCCAGAGAGCATGGTCTCTGCATGCCCATTCTTCAAGACCAAAATTAACAATTTTGGATTGTCACCAAACCCTTCCTGCCTCACAATCATCAGATCTCATGGGTCAGTCACACTTCTTGTCCCAGGGGATTCTCATTGGTGAAGCTTCACCATTCAGGAAATTATTTCCCATGTCCTACGCATGCAGATCAGGTTTCTGGTATGAAAGGAACAGCATTTTCTACCCTGGACACAGGCTCTGGTAGAGTGAGAGTGGTGCAATTTTGCAGGAACGCTGGTAAGTGTGTGAGAACAGGTAGGGAAACTTCTGTAGCAGCAGCTGCTGCTACCTCAGCCCCTTGCATTCAAACTAGATAGGAAATCTCTCCTTAAAGTCATTATGGGGATGTGGGAAGCCATATATGTAAGTGGTTGTGGGGTAGCAAGGGAATCCATGAGCTGAATGCTCATGGCACTATTATCACATCTTGTCCCTCTCAGCTGTTGTATTCAGGGAATGCAGGGGGCCATGCATTATTCTTATTTTGAATCCCTGGACTTCATTGTTCTGACAGCACAAGTAACAAACTTGGGCTATGACTAAGACAGCAGAGAAGGCAGGGAATGGGTGGGCAGCTCCTGGTGTAGGCAGTTGCTATTTGGAAGTTTTCTCCCACAGCTCACAGCCCCAGGAGAATCTTTAAAAGGTACAGCACTTCTTGCAGTCAGCCTGGTGATGTACATCACTTTCTGGAAGTTCAGAGATCAATGCCATTATTCCATTGGAACCACATGCATCTCTCCCTCCCTCACCCTGAGTGGAGAGAAATACAGCAAAGCAATCTTTTAACCTGAGCCAGATAGAAATGCTGGTAGGGTGTGACAGGGACGCTTTGACTCTTGCAACAGCGAGGAGCAGGAGATATGGGAATCCTGGACCATGTCCTCATACAAACTGCGGGGCCTATGAGGACTCCTAACAACTCTGAAGGAAACCTGGCTTCTCAGAGTGCTCCTGGATCACCAAGCCACAAAAAAAAGGAACAAAATCTCAATCAACTGCAGGTTTGCTCTGGGGCTTCCAAAGAAAAATTTCTTACAGCCTTTCTAGTATGCAATGCTGTTCGATTTACTATGATTTGTGTCTTCTTGCCTTTAGAAGAGCATTTTTGTTTTCCTTTTTTTAAACTTTTTTGTCATTTATCACTCTTACATGAGCCAGCACATGGGATGCTTTCAATATCCTGAGGCAGCCACCATTTAGCACTGTTCCCAAGCACAAGCTGAAGAATAGAGCTACTTCCCCAGGACCTTATTATACCTTTTATGAATTTCCTGCTTGATAGCAGGAAGGAATCAAAATACTGAGAATACTTGAAGAATTTTTAAATTAAGAAAAAAGAAAGGAAAGAGGCTTATCGAGAGGGACTGCAGCAAAAGCTAGGGCAGGTAAAGCAGAGGAAGAAGTTCACAGAAACAGAGGAGGAGTATCAGCAAACAGACTGATCACAGTCTAGTAGTATAAGATTGGAAGCTGAGGACAAATAGAAGGGCACAAATGCATTTGGATCTTTACATAGGAAGTTAATTATGTCACAGAGTTACTAGAGTTCTTGACGTTTCCTGAGCCTTCTGATGGTGTGTGCATGTATTAGTCAACCTTTGGCTAACCACATGATGATGTGGTTCACACACGGGGTCAGAAGATTTAAATTTAAGAGTCAGCTCCCAGTTTAGTTATCACTGAAAGGAATTTAGTTTGTATACACCAGAAGCACATAGAGGACCAACACATGCAGACAGAAACAACTGAGGGATTCATGCTAAAACATAAAATAAAAATAGTTTTGCTATGATCAGTTTGGTCTGATTGCTAATGTGGTGATATCCTGAGTAACTTGAATTATATTTTAAAATTTCCAACAGGGGATGAGGGCCATTTCTGATTTTCCTTCTATGCAATTTGAATTTTAAACCTAAATTTGGTGATTAAAAACCTCCATCACCCCAACAATTTTCAGTCTGGTTTCATAATATAATCAGCTGAAATATTTCATACAATGAAATTAGAAGCAATCACTCTATCTACCTACTCTTCCCCACTTATCACAGACCATAAATCTGTATTAAGCTGAAATATATTTTATACAGGAATTATTTCAATCATTAAACACTGAAAGTGATCTCCCTAATAAATTAACCAGAATAAGTAATTCTTTCTTTGAAAAATATATTCCTTGTTCAATTGTATTTATAGGGGAGACACAGCCACATTCAGTGCTGCAGTTCAAAAAGGCTCGAAATAAGGCTCTTGGCACGCCCACTTCTGTTACAATTCAGAACTTTACACATACTTTTGTGGCTTATCTGTGAATTTACATAACTTCTGAAAAAACTCAGATATCTTTCCCTATATATGCATGAATCAAATTTCATATACACAGCACAGCTGCATCCTGGACTTAATGATATATGTACAGCTCATCAGATACCTGCATACATAGCCGGTATTTGTCTCAGGTACTCAGTTCTTACTAAACATGTAGATATCAATTCTATTCAGAACAGAACTGAACAATATTAATAAAGGACTGTCATTAAGCTTCCTTTTTGTTCTCCATTCTTACTGTTACAAAAACTGGCTAGGCTCAGAGAAGCTGATTTTTTAAACCATAACTGCTGGATAGACCAAGAACATTAATAAACTTACATCTGGATATTCCATGTTTTCTAACAGTGTTTATCAGCCTGTCATATGATTGATGGAAAATAACCATAGCCCAGGAATGGCCCCAAAAGATCGAAGATTGGAATGAAGACTCCTAGCCCTCTTCTCTTTTGAATTGGTTTTATACATTGTAATAGGTTGTTAGTTTCTCATTCAACTCTGAATACACACTGAAAATCAGATGCATAAACATCTTTGAGTCTGTGCATGCATTTTAATCTCTCCACTTGGTCTGCACATGCCAGCTCCTATTTCAGGTATTTCTTATCCCAGCATAGTATCTCTTTCCCTAATCCCTAATACATTCCTATCAACCCCTACAAGGCAATTACAGTTACATTTCTTTGATGAGTCCTATTATTGAAAAATAATTCAAAGATGACAGTGACAAAAAAAGAGAGAATAAGCAGACAATCAACAACGCACATGAAGCATTACAATCCCGTCTCTGAAGTTTAAAATAGAAACCTTGAATTGCATTGCCACAATTCTAAATTGCAAACTAACTGCTCTTAAATTTCAGGTAATGTGACAAAATCTAAGTGTGATAAAATTGGAGCGCATAAATATCTGCCTTAAATTCCTCAAAATTACAGTTAACACTAAATATTCTTTTTGTCTTTCAAACCTGCAGTGAGCAGATTCATCCTATTTTCTGCTTGGCCCAGCACAGGGCAAGGGGTTGTCACAGATGACTTACCTTAAAGGACCTTAAAAGGTCCTTTCCACACAGAATAATTCCATGGGATAGGAATCAAACATATCAACCACCAAACAAACCCAAGAGCCCAGAAACACAGACTTTGCTTCTTTTCAAAGGAATGATGAATGGTGTTGAATTGAGTAAACTCAGGTATCTGTACCCAGCCATAAGGAGGCACCTTCACAGAGACCACCAAATTCCCACTTAAGGATTTTACTAAGGATTTCTTTACCAAGACTTGATACCTCAAATTCTACTTGGTTATACCAGTGGTGCCTAGCCATGCATCTGGCAAAATACTGCAGCTCATTGTGCCACCAGAGAACTCCAGGCTTTTGCCCCAGAAAACTGAAGAAGTTGGGGGAAGAATCAAGTAGTGGGGGAACAGGTAATTAAGATCTGAATTGACCATCCTGGACATCAGGAGAAAGTGAGGTACAGGCCAGCTAACTACAGCAACCCACTAGTGAGCAGACAGCCACCTTCCTCTGTCGAGATATGACAGAATCACTGAACACTTAGGGTTGCAAGGAACCACTGGAGATAATCTACTTCAATCTAAAGGCATGTTGAGTGGAACACAAACAGCAAAGAATGAACACTGAGGAAGCTGAAATTTCTTTCCAGTGGCCGTTAGGAACTACAAGTGGTGGATTAAACACCTCTGTCCCATATTTTCAAGACCACAGAAGTCCATGATAACTGATTAAGCTCTCCTGTACATCATCCTATGCGACACTTCCCATGCAGACAGGAAGTGCTTTCTTCTGCAAAGGAAAAGAGGGAGATGAGAGGAGAGAAAGGGATAAACAAGGTGGCATATTCTTCAACTTAAAGAGATGACATTAAAAGCTGCATGTGCACTATATACCTCTTCATTCAAAGGAAGAGAAGGAAAGCTTGTGTTCCTTGCCAGAAAAAGGCCGACTTGCCCTGTAGTAATACAATTTAACTACAGTTATGCTTGACTGATCTAAGCCAAAAGTAAGACTTTTCTAACAAAAGTAAGAATTTTCAAATGTGTTTCTCTTTCTTTAAATAGAAAAATAAAAGCTCCATTAATACTGAACTTAGTACTTCTACAGTTCAAAGTTTATCACTTTACCCAGTATCCTGAATGTAAGTAAAGAAATCCCTCAATGAAAGATGCATTAAGTCACCAGCATTTTACTGTTAGTACCTAATTGCTGTTCCTTAGATCCACCCTGAACCACAGAGCAGACATTACAATTCTCTTGGTCAGGGTGCCCCCACAGCATCCAAAACTTGTAAGGACTGTAATATATAGTGAACTTGTGTAGCACCTGCAACTATCCCAAAACCCCAGAGACGTTCTGAAGGGGGAGCATGATACTGAAAAATTCCTGCTTTCCTTGAAATCTATGTAGCATATAAACACTCCCTAGAAATAGACTTAGGTAATGTAATAACTTTAGAACTCTTTCAATTCAAAACAAAACCGAGGTTCTTATTTTAATAGTAGCTCCGGACCTGAGTGCTCAGGCATCACAGCCATACACAATGGCAGCTTGAGAATCAGTACACTGAAGTTCTCTAAACACATCATCTTTCTTGTCCATCGTGTATCTGCTGCACCATCTACTAAAAAGCCTTTTGCAGGTTGATTGTTTCCTAGTTCAGTGTTTTCTCTAGTCATTTGCATGGAATCTAATCCAGCAAGTGCTTGAATTCATGGAAATTCTGTCATGGACTTCAGTGGGTTTGGATCATTACAGATGGTTGGAAAAGTCACTAACATAGACAAGCCATCAATCTCCTGTCATTTTACTCCCTCCAAACAAAGGCATAAATATCACAAATGCCTGTTATGTGATACCAGGTAGCATGCTGAATGTTATGTGACCACTGCCTACTATATCACCTGAAATCATGAGCACGTTTCTAAACACACAGCACTCAATTGGCAAAAAAAGCAACGACTGCTTAAAGTAATCTGTCCTACCAGAGGAGGAAAGAATGTGTTTCACTGTCATTACATTAAGATTTTTCAGGCTGTATGCAAAAATGTCATAGCAAATCTATAGCATGAGCTGCATTATGTCTCTATCAAGAGTGAACTCCCTATTAGCTCAGTTATGAATTCTGCAGCTCAGTTTAAACATCCAGATAAGGGGAATGGACAAAAATTCCTATACAGAGCACAGGATATGGCCATGCTTGGTTAAGAGTTTTATAAAGCTTCTTTTCAGAAGGGACTCCATTAACAAATTAATTGATAGCACCTCTCTTATATTAACTTCTGATTATGATCATGTATGGACAAGGTATCAAAGTATGTCCTCAATACTGACTTTCTCTAAAACTACTTGAAATTTCTGTGATGCACATCCTATAGAGGTGGAAAATGAAAGTTGTCTTTCTTCTTCTCACTGGACCCCACCCTATTTAGCATCTTCTGTTTTCTTAATTGTCCAAGAGTCTTGGAATTATTTATTTAAGTGAACATTGTAACAAACTCCTCTGCAATCTCATTTAGCCTGGAAATAATTTACCAGATGGAGTTATTTCACTTGGGAAGCTCTGGGAATAAGAAGACACAAAGCTTCTTGGCTTCTGCCTGACAAAGGCTCTTAGACAAGCATTCATTTTGCTCACCTTGAAGGCCACCACCTTAGATCTAATTTTAGCCCCTCACCCTTCTATCCATAACTGGTTTTAGAAGCTTGTTTTCTGTCTACTCTGATGTTTGATTTGCACACTACGGTTGAGCAGTCATTTCAAGTTACTTGTAATTTTGCTGCAGGAAAAAGAAGTCGAGATCTACCTACCATACATTCTAGCCTGTCCACAGTGACATCAGCTTGAAAACTCATTTCATTGGATCGTTCCAGGTATTTTGCATTTACAAGCTATTTTTTCCAAATTGTTAAATAGATATAGTGACTGATAAAACCAGATCTTACTGCAATTATGTCTCTTCACATGTCCTCAGCAGGATCACTCGAAGCACAGTGTAATTCCAATAAGGAAAATCCTTCCTATTGTCTGAGTTGCATTACATGCATATTCCTCCTCCTAGTTAACTCCTTACCTGCCAGTCTCCACTAAACTATGATATCACCTTTAACAGAAGCATCTTGCTCTCCTTCCCCACAGGAGGGGTGATCAACACACTACCTTAGAAAAAGGACTCATTCCAACTATCTGTTCTTTATGTCATCCCTCTGACCTCCTACCTCCCTTAACCACAACCAAAATAAAGAAGTTGGTTTCACATTTTTTAGTATGAAATCCCCCAACTCCCATTATAGAAATGCATTTAAATACCACACAAGTACTACAGCAAGAGGCAGACAGAGAGATTTTGCATTTTTCACCTCTTCCCCCGAGGATATAGGGGCTAAGGAAGGAATGTCTAACTCAGAAATAGAAGGTTCAGTACCTAGTATCTTTTATTTCGGCGTCTGCTATTTCACTTGATCAATAACAACCGCAGTCTCCACCGGCTTCGAGCGGGGACTCACACAGCCGAGCACTCCTGGACCATCTTCCTAGCAATGGTGACACAGGCGTTGCTCCGAGGAACCCCAAGCCCCCGCACCAGTCCTCCGGCAAGTCTCGCTGCTTGACACCTCAACATTTTCTTCGGTCACTTCGTCAGCAGCCAAGAGGAGAAGCATCCATGGGAAAAATGGCATATTACAAATTTTGCTTTGGGAAGCAGAGCTCGGTTCAGACCATTGTCGGGAGCAGGGGGGGGGGAGCGGCTCTTAAAGCTCCAGCAGCCCCTTTCGAGCAACAGCATCCTTGCAGCTGGAGGCAAATGTCACAGGGGAGGGGGCAGGGCGAAAGCATCTCTCTTTTATTTCTTATCTTTTGCTAAACTTAACTAAGGGGTATCTGGCTTCCCTGGTTCTTCGATACCTCCCAAGCTAATTATGTCTCTGTGCGTGACTGAAGTCCACACACACGCACGACTGCCTGCACGATCAAGAAGCAAACGCGGTTTTCTGCTTTGCAGAGAGAAATGCTCTGGCCACGGCTCGTCGCTGCCTGGCTGGCACCGTGCAGAGCCCGCTGCCAGACCTACGGAGCCGGAGCCGGGAGCGGCACCGGGAGCCGCGGCCGGCGGTCACTCACGGCACCGGGTGGCCGCGCCCCGGGCACCGCTGCCAGCCCCGCATCGCCCGGGGACACCGGCATCGAGAGCGGCACCACAGCGCTACGCTACTACAGCCTGCAATTTAAGGAGCTCAGGCAAACGCCACAACATCTCTTCTAACCGTAGAGCGTAATAAAATGTATCATCTGCGGTAATCCGACCGTGTGAAAGCAGGGATAAAACCTGCCATAATCTCAATAGTCCGGGCGTGTAATTAACATCACACACGGGGGAAGGCCGGGCGCTGGCAGGCTGTGCCCTGTGCTGGCTGTGCCCAGTGCCGGCTGTGCCCTGTGCCGGCTGTGCCCAGAGCCCTGTGCCGGCTGTGCCCTGTGCCGGCTGTGCCCAGTGCCGGCTGTGCCCAGTGCCGTCTGTGCCCTGTGCCCTGTGCCGGCTGTGCCCAGTGCCGGGGCCGGAGGGCGGGGTGGAGGCGGAGGGAGCGGCGCGGCCGTGCCGGGCTGGGCTCGCTCCTCGGCGCGGGGACTTCCCCTGGAGCCGCTGCAGTGGTTTTCACCAGTCCTTAAATAAATTCTGAAGTAATCGCGTCTGCCTCCTCTGCCTCACGCACGCGGCTCCCCAGATGCTGCTGCCGCTGCTTCGCGGCTCGCTCGGCGTTAATTCCCTCACGCCCACTCCTTAGAAAAAGAAAAAGAAAAAAGAAGAAAAAAGGGGACACCAGGGCGTGACCTGGATGTTGAGCGGCGCTGCCATACAATTCCTGTGCCCACGGCCGTGCGGCCCCGGGCGGCTCGGAGGGGCTGGAGGGGCTGCGGCACCCGAGCCCCCCGGCGCCGCCTCCGCCCGGCCCGGCGGGAGCCGCTGCCACCCCCGGGGCCGCCCCCGGCGCTGCCCCCGCGCCCCTCGCAGCCCCGGCACACGGGCCCGGGGCGGGCGGGGAAAGAGGGATGGCGAGCTGGGACAGTGCCGGGTGTCCGTGGAACTGGACATTGTGAATGAACGGCGTTTTCAGAGCCGGCGTGAGGATGTTTGTTCAGCCCAGTTTGAGGAAGATGATGTGCATGTATGAACTACTCAAACTTTGTTCTTGCAAAAAAATATTTCGGTACTTGTTTACATTTCTTCTGCATAGAAGAAGAATTTCATCCGTGAAGGATTGACTTTGTTGCTTCAGAAGCCTGAAGTCTCTTTATATGCTGTGGAAATGTGCTGGAGAGAGGAGGGAGCCACAGCCAGGGGCGTGCTGAGACTCAGTGATGCTTGCTGCTGAGCTGGCTTCACAGGAGGTGTGACACCGTATTGTGGGAAATATAAATGCATGGAGGATGCACATCCGCACTGTAAAGCAAATAGCTGTGAAGAGTTATCAACATGGACATTTCAAATCCAAGCGCAAAGAAAATACTGGTGCCATGCCAGAGTGTGTTGCCAGAGCTTGGCCTCTCAGTGCAATGCATAGGTGAAAAGAGAAAAAAAAAGATAACTCTTCCTCTCTACCTGTGCCACTATTCCAAGTAGCTTTTTGTCATTTCACTGGTACATTTCAGATCATTATCTTGACTTAATTATCAGCGTACAAACCATTAGAGCAGTTGCCTGATAATCCCACTGTAGCTGAAGGCAAGAGCTGTAATCTATGAGCTTTTTCTACTGCGTGACTATCACAAATCTGAGCTTTGAGTAAGGCGAGTAAGGAAAGGAGACTCAAAAAGCACTCGTTGAGTGCTCAGGAGTCACTGCCTGGGCTGGCTGGTATGAACTTTTTCAAAGGAGGACATAGCTGGTGGGGTTTTTTACATTATTTAAGGTTACATTGTTTAAGGGTCTTTTTCCCTTTCATTGAAATTAAAAATCAGGGTTTGCCGCTTAAAAACTCCTAGAACTCACCACTATTACTTTTTATAACCCATCTATATGCATGGAAGCATCACTCTTTTCTAAATATTGATAAAGATGGGTGCTACTGATGGCATCCTGACTTTTTCCCCTTTCAAACAGCATTTTCCTGCATAAAGAGTTTGCCAGACATGTGAGAGATCTGTCCAGGTTCACCCAAGGTGACTGTTTTCAGCACTCACCTTGGAAAATATTCCAGTCCGTGTTCCATGTGCTGGAGGAGGCAATTATTTGCAAGCTGTATAGCAGACAGATCTCCTTCACAGCCATTTGATTTACAAACATTTGTAGAATAATTTTGGAAGTCTATTGGCCCCTCAGCTCCTCATGCCCATCCTCCCTACCGACTTTCAATCATTAAAGCAAAAACCCAGCACAGAAAGATTATTATTGCTCAAGGTGTTGGCATTGCTACCTGTACTAGTTGACCTGCTGCCCTTACCGTCTCCCTTGCAGATTCACAGATGAGTAAGTGGCTGAAGGATCATGTGTCACAGCCCTGAGGTTACTGCAGAGAGTAGAAACTGCCAATTAGCACCTGTGCTTTGTGGAACCAATTTAAACAGGAGCCTCCTTCTCTTCAAGCATGTAGGGGTTTGAGGTCAATAAGATGGAAGAAGAAGGGAAAACTCTAAAGAATGGGAAATGAAGAACTATGGAAAAGCCGCAAAACCTGGCATGGAAAAAAATATTTGGGCTTGATAATAATAAAGGAATTCTCCCTACAGTAGGGGACATGTTTGGTAAAACCTAAGTGGAGAATTTTGATCAAGAGCATATGAGCATAATAATATATTCCATGGAAACCTTAGTAGTGAAAGGTATTTAGTGTACTATTTAATTATGAGCTAAAAAGCCCCTTGAATGGAATTTGACCATTAGATCTCCAAAATATAGTTTTGTTTATCTAAGCTCCAAGTGTTATATTAATTCTATTATCTATTACTATATCTTTTCTATTATATTAATTCTAATCATTCAATTAATTACCCCAGAAGTATGAAATGCCCTGTTGCTCTGGGAGGTTCTGTATTTGTGTATATATGTAGCGGCATCAAGTGTTTGAGCAACTGGAACTTGTAGCTGATAAAGTAAGTGAGTGAGCACAGGAAGAGCAGGAAGAGTACAGTGAGACTGTATTCTTTGTTACCTTAGGAAGTCCTCCTCACCATTTGCCAGGTTACTTTAAAAAAAATACATAATCTTATGTCAGAAAGACACATCTGAAAACTGTCTTCCTTCCCTCTGTCAGTGTTGCCGTGGAGTTTCTCATTTGCTGCCTCCAACAAAGGTAAAGTAGAGAATAATGAAATCCTTTGTTATGAACAGGGTAAAAGAGGACACCACCATGCTCTCGAGGAATAACTGATCATATAGGGAAGTGAAGACCAACTTGGAAAAGATTTGCTGTTGCTTTGAAGACATACAATGCAAACTGAGGAGCAAGTAATGGTGGCAAACTTATGTGATTCAGTTAACACAGTAAGAGTGGAAAGTGAATCCTGAATCATGCCTGAATCATACTAATGATGCACCATTTCAATTTTTAAAGTCTTTTAATAGGTACTACAGCATGTTCAAGGCCTGAGTAAGGTTTCTATATTAAAATAGAGAAAAGAAGATGTGTCTTAGAAATGTTACAGAGAAAGCAAAAAAAAAAAAAAACAAAACAAAAAACACAGCAATATTTAGAACTAGTCTTCCCTTGATAAGCTATTAGGGACTAAGAGAGAAGCACAAAAATAAAGTTCAGGAGATCTTGGCTAAGACTGGGAAAAATGTCCTATTGTATGAACAAATTACATTCTTTGCAATTTGAGTTAGAATTCCAGTTGTACTTTACAATTACATTAATGCTCTCTCTCTCTTTCTCTCTCTCTCACACACACACACACACACACTGAATCCATATGTGGCCTCAAAAATCAACATGGCAGCCTTAAAAGTCTCTCATTGCAGACATTTGATGGGGAGGGAGAAAGTTCAAAGGAGGAATATACATTTAGCTTAGATGTGATTTGTTCAAAGCCAATTAAAGATCAATAAAATACAAGCTGGAGAGTTTTATAGCATAGTTAGCACCTTTTGGTACAGATGAAAGTCCTTAGCTGGGAAAGGACAGTTTTTATTTCTGTCTCAGTCTGATCTGCAGGGCAGGCTGTCATTTGCAGCTACAGGATGGCTGATTGGGCCACTGGAATTTTTTGGTCTTATTCCTCTCCTTTAGTGTGATTTTTCTGGTGACATGATTTAAGGGCTGGTAAAGACCTTTTGAGGATCCCAGTTACTTGCATACTGTTGTACTTGAGAACCTGAAACTGAAGGAGAAATTTTTCTTTCGTGATCTAAGAATAGCTTCAAGAAAAATAATTTTATTTTTTTTCTACTCTGTCTCATATTGGTCAGCTGAAGTGTCACTTGCAACCAAAGTGGCATAAGATAGGAGTAAACATTTTAATTCAGTCTGCTATTGAAAAACTTATGCCATAATAGAAAATTATACTAATCACCATAAAAATTGAAACTTGTCATTCAGTTGTATTGAGAGTAGCTAGGTGTGTTATCAGATTCTCAGAATGCAATTTATTTATTATTTTAATTATTTTCAACACATTAATGCAAGCAAAAGAGTGCATG